CTAACATTCATTCTTCTTCCAGCTTGTACTGATTATCTCAAGAGCAGGTCGATGTTGATAAAGGGAGACACAATAAAATAAACTGTGTTACCCAGGTTCTCCCTTGTGTGTTACCACTCTAATGCAGCACATACTGTATTCATTCGCCTTTATCCAGTATTGGTGAACAGGTCTCTTTGGGAACGGACCAAACCTGCACAAATGTACTGAATGAAACCGCCTAAGTAAACCTTTAATCATCCATTGAGCTGTAATCTATTGTCCGCTACGTTTTTCAAAGACGTTGTACCTTTTGTCACAATCCGAGGAGTAGCATTTAAGTGCAAAGTAGTATGGCCTGCTTTTTACTGACTGATCAAACTACCGCCACAGCCTTACTTTCATTATCTCAATGTGAAACCGTTTAGTTCCAGAGGAGACAACACATATGCAGAGGGAGGGAAGGAGGGAGGGTGGGAGGGAGAGGCAGCGCGAGCTTGTGAGAAAAAGGATGCACAGACGTGAAAATGGAGACCGACCCACAGATCTGCAGCTTCTTAAACAGATACACAGTCCCTTCCAAACGTCGGCTATTTCTTTGTAAAATTTGAATGCAATATTTTTTAGAAGACGTTTGGACGTATTCTTCAAAAATCTCAATTTACAAGTTAAAACTGGCTGTTGCATTTCAGATGTGACTTAGGAATACAGTAGCTCATAGTCCGCTTTCTTAAACAATAACCTATCAAAAAATTCTTAAAACAGATTTTACTTTTCTGCAAGAGTTAATTTTAAAAGTAGTTTTCTTACTAGACACATCAGTAAAGAATTAAGAGACCTCATATCTTGGTTTAATACAGTATTAAAAAGTTGTGGCCATCTTACAAGATACTACTTTGAAAATACCAGATTAATTCACTGCACAAACTGTTTTAAATTATTTCCTAACCTGTGCCACAGTAATTAATGAGATTAATGAGATCAGGGATTAAATGTACTTAAAGCAGTTCAGAGGAACTGCAAACATGTTGGTAAGGAATGCACGACCAATGAATAGCTGCTATTCTTAACAGTTTTGAAAGTTCGCTGCTTTGATGGGTAGTCCATACTCCACACACCTAATATTCACTAAAAGGAGGACTCTTAAAGCCTGGGGGTGGGAAAAGATACAGTGCGTAGACTGCACGGCGTACGACTGAAGTGCCACTGCCAAAGACCCACGTTTACAACTGCGCGTGCAGCCAGCAAGATGCTACACAAACAGGCAGAACACTGACAGAGAACATGCTTTACGGTTTAGTACTCACATGCAACCACCACACATCTTTTCTTTTGCACAGTATCTACTTTCACTGCATTTCAGTTTCAGGACCACTATATAAATATTAGATGTTATCAGACAGCTGAACATGAATCTCTGGTTGTTTCACATTCACACAGCTGCAGTTATTTTATTGTGCAAGACTGAGGTGGTTGTTCTTAGGAGAGAGGGAAAAATGGGTAGGGATTTTGAGGGGCTTTCTTGGTGAATCCCCAAACCTCACTCCTTTTGCAGTGCCTCAAAACTTAATTAAAACGCGTTAAAAGCCTGTAAGGCATTCCAGGCACAATTAATCTGAAAAAAATTGAGTATTTGTAGCATTAATAATAGTTCAGTTTCCCATCCTTTTGCAGAATGAACTCCAAGGCCTCAGGGAAAAGTTGGCCCTGATGTCATGGCATTGAGAAATGCAGTTCATTAAGATCTTAAGCAACAAACAACAGCAACAATTAGCTGCTATACTCATTCTTGATTTATCGTTAAGAAACACAGACTGCACAAATGGAAAGGGCCAAAAGGGTCAACTAGTGCATCCTCTTGCCAACTCATGATTGTCCGTGATACTCATTTTCCAGCATTTTGCCAGTCTACTTTTCTAAAAATCTTGAGAAATAACGATTCTATTACTTTTCCTTCTGAGAACATTCAAATTCAGAGACTACTCAGCTTCACTTTAACTTTCAAATTCTGCTGGTTAGGTGAACATTTTTCAACTGTGATCCCATCGCTCTGAGGTATATCTTTGTTCCCTGACAAACATTTCTCCCTTTCATAGGTTTGCGTATTTCATAGAGTTTATGTTAACATGTTTCCTCTTTACATATTAATTACCCGAAGTGTATACATGTTTGCTTTTTTTCCCTGTAAATCAGTCTATCAGTCTTATGGCTCACTCCAGTTTGGGTTCCCAGCAAAGAAAGCACTAAGGATTTGCTTTACGCAGCATGAATACATACTAAAAATTGAGCAAGACGAGAATAAAAACTTGTATTCTCCAAGAGTATGAGAGCTATGAAAAAAATGAAAGAAAAAACAGACTGTTTAAGGTGGAATTCAGATGTCATGAGATATTTTAGCAGTTATAATGCTAAACATGTAGCTTTGGTCTCACTATAAGCTTTCCGCTGTCCTGCTGATCTTCAGGTTTACCTGTTAAACTGCATATAAAACAGTAATACATTTACATACACTACTTTGGCTCCTGGAGTGTACTCCATACTTATTCCAGGAGTGGCTTTCTATCAATATATAATAAATGAATTTCCTTAAGCAATACATTGAATGCTGACATTAAATACATTAACAAAACTCTTCTCATTCCTGTACTTTTACTTTTTCATTTTTATTTAGACAGTTTAAGAACTTTTTCTATTTGCCTTGCCAGCCCTTAAAGATTTAGCCTATTTTCAAATCTAACTTTATTTATCAATTTTATCTTAAGCTGAACCAACTCATAATAAAGAAATTCAAGGTTAATTTCCAAAATCACCTTCCCTATTTCTTTATTAATTAACAAAACCATGTTTAGAAACAGAATCTTTAATCCCTAAAGTATCCCTGAACAGACTGATCAGGGATTTTCTGGAGAAAATTTATTGGCTATTATTATCTCATCTGCACCATATTAGATTTTCTGTACTGACTTACCTCTGAATAGTATTTCTCTTTCTAACGATACAACAGCAATATATACTTATGCATACATACATACATACATACATACATACATATACACACACACACACACACACACACACACACACACACACACACACACATATATATATATATATATAAATCTGATCCTGGGACTCTACAGGAGATTCTCAAATCTATTCTGAAATAAATTATTTTACAGTCTTTCTCCCAGTGTGACTCTGACCCTTAATTCTTACTATTTTATCCAAGCTATCTCCTACTCCCTTACTTAAACTCAATGACATCAAAGTACACAGCTACCCCACACCTTTATCTTTTGCCTTCCTTTCCTGAAGGCAAGTATTTTTTAAAAGATGCCTTTTAAGCATCTTTTAAATACTTCTTTTATTTTAGTAATTTTTCAAAAATATAAATAAGGTTTTTAATTGTAACTGTTATCCCTCCATGATTCCAGCATCCCTACAATACAATCTCTGGCAGCAGCAATTTAAATGACCCCGTTTTGTTCACCAAACAAGACTCCCGGTATTTTCATACAAACATTTTGGTTCTTTGTTTTACTGACAACGCATTTGGTTGTTAGTTTAGGAACAGTCCTTTCACTAATCATATGCCCTACTCGAATGCCATCCTTCCTACTGACCACAGATTTTACTGTTTGCTCTGCCCTCATGTATGTAACTGCCCTCCTCCTACGTAGTAAAGCCAGATGAGAACAATGCAGTCACTTCCCACTGCCTTCCCTTATTCCTCAGTTCAAAGCTCTTATCATTTGCTTCAGTCCCATTCCCGGGAGGCCGTTTTCACAGATATACAGGAAAAACAGACTTCATTGAAAAGAAAAATCAAAATGTCTTCAGTTTGAATTTGAAGAAATTGCTGCATTCCAAATATAGCAGTTGAATTCCTTCTAATAAGTTTTGCATTTCTTTCTTTTTTGTTACAAAGATAAGAGTGATAATGCTTAAAATACATTTGACTTCTAGAAGGTCAACAAAAATATAAAAGAATATGGAATGTATTGTAAGAGGTTTAAGTTAACTTCTTTTCTTTAAAAAGCATTTCTCAGATATGTTCAGAAGGCAATACCATTTACAATTTACTTTTCTAAGTAGAAAGAGAATAATAATGGCATGGTTTGTCCACACACATTTCTGAGACTGCTGTAGCATTTATGCAAACAGAGGCTCTGGAATAAAAATAAATCGGCAAATTTACATCTCCTTCTTTTGTCAAGTTAAGTCAAAAACATAATGGCAATGTGACCTTGCCTTTAGTATACCCTTTAGTATGAGTGGCAGTATTGCAGTAAAGAGATATATATTAACTTAAAAATGAAGCAAAAAAACCAATTAATGGTATACTACAGCCTTTGTCTAAAACCTTATTACTAGAAAATGAAAATCATTAAAGAACCATAGTATTCACAATATTGTAAGATTTTGGATTCTTTCTGACAAGGTCCCATGCATATGAACAATAACCCTTTGTATTCAACAATAGGTAAGGAATAACAACAGTAAAATCACCCTGCTCTCCGGCTGTTTCTGTATATCGTGTAGAAGTTGTTTTAATCTAATGCGTATTGTTGCATAATATCCCCAGGCACAGTCAAGTAAAAGCTAAATCTGTACAGAAAAGCCAACATTTTAAATGGGTCTTGTCATTAATGCTTTATTAATTGCCCCAGGCAATGCAAACCCAGAGCTAGGCAAGCTATAACAATATGCCAAATATTGAGTTAACAGCAGGAAAGAACAATTTATTGGGCTTTTCTCCGTCTCCTGATTATCTGATCTAAATTAGATCACTTAGGTTGTTTCTCTGTAAAAACAAAACACCTTTTATCCACTCAACTTCAAAGAATTTTTGATTGTTTCTATTATGGCAATAATGTTTAGTAACATCTACCTTTTATTTAAAATATGCATAGTACTGAATATAATGATATGAAGTACGAAACCCTCTTGTCCCTACATGAAACAACATAGCATAAAGGAAAATTCACAATTATTAGTTTAATATTTAACATATACATTACCTTCACATCTGAGGTATCTCTTTGGCTGTTCCTCCAAGACCTTGCTACTGAGGAGAAGGTTCGATCTGGGTGGTCAAATTTGCCATCATTTGCATTTAGAAAGAATGTTGTAAAGGGCTCCTGTAGTCAATGAAATGAAGACGGATTAAGAACACAGCAGAAGGAATCAGGCAACAGATGACTTTTGCTAATCAAAATACTCTATAAAGGCAGAATTAAGCAAAAAATCACACTGGTACCTCATACTTACATCTATGCATATTTATCTGTATGGAATACCATAGTTTATTTACTAGTGCTAACAAATTTTGCAAGCACAAATCCTGAGTTCTGTCAGGAAAGGTTATATTACATATTCACTCTGCCATAAGTGGCGGATTGAAGTAGTTTAGCTCTAGCTCACCATGGTTGCCTACTTTACTGCAACCATTGTAAACGCTGTCTGTGTTGCTCTGCTACTATGCTTTGTCTGCCCCTTCTAAGACAGTATATCAAAATAAAATCTCAAAAAATCCACTTGTCTTGATTTTCATTTTGTTTTCATTTAATTTAGAAGACTTTTGGATGTTCCACTTTTCCTCACGGTGGGCAGAATGGCTGTATGGTCATTATGAGGCAGACTACTGGTACAGGATACCTAGCTTTACCATTATATTGTGGCAGCCAAATGTCTGCTACCATTTTTCCTCCATTCTATCTACTCTTTGTCCAGTTACCATGGTTTTAAGATGAGTATACAAATAAATCACAGAGATGGAGATGAAAAATTTAGAATTTTCTTTTGCTAATTGTAGCTGATATCATATTCCCTATACTTAGTAACCGGCAACAGCTGCTAACTTTTGGGTAAGAAAAGCTCAAGTCTTAGATGGTCTGGAGAATCCATTTTGTCATCACTTTCCACAGCAGGGAAGGAGTTGACAGTGGATCAAATCCTAAATTAGACAGCAGTACTTTGTTACTGAGATTGTTGCCAATCCCCTGGTTTTCCAGCACCACTCCGTTAGCTCTCTGATGCAATTAATATTTGGCAGTATGTCTTCATGGATGGAAACCACTTCCACCTTTTCTCCCATGTGCCCTGGTGAATAATTTTAAAAGTTATGTCTATTCCTTTAAATTAATGCCCAAATTTATTTTCTTGCACGTCCTGATCATCTGGAAATAATGTTAAGCCTCAAGGTAGTTTATAATCACCAGGTTATAATTAATTAATAAGTATTACCCATGTACTATTTTTAATTTTATTTTATACATCCTCCTTCATTTCCTCTTCAAAAGCTTTTGAACAAAGCAGGGAACTCCTCAGTTAATGAAGAAATTTTTGAGGGAATGATGTCTATACACATGGTGTCTAAACTATCCAAGATTAAATAGAACTGAAGTATTTCGGTTTCAGCAGCATTTAAAAACAATTTAAATATACATAAGAAAAGCGGGGTGCAAGGGTAGGAAAAGAGTCAAAAAAGAACACGGAAGACGAGGGAATTCAGACCTCCTGAGACCACTGTTTCTCTAATTTCTACTTGTTTCTTCCCAGTTAATCTTTTCTATCACACACAGCAGTCAACATAGGCCACTCTTTCAAAGAAGAAAAGAACTAAATTTCTCATGTCTAATGGAGAAGGAAGAATGTGACATCTCTGTTATTGTCATCATAATACGCTGGTAGCTTTAAAGTAGTTTAAGGGAAATGTTTAGTTTTAAATGAAGACTTTTTTCTTCCCTTCTTTTTTTCTTTTTTTAAGCCTCGGATAGTATCTTAACTTCTGGTGCAAACATGAAATATATGCATCACTTTCATGATAATATTACAAGACATTCTACTGCTGTCTAATTGAACAGAGAAATTTGTTCTTAGCTTTTCTCTTTTAAAACTTTAGGAATTTATTTACAAAAAATGCATTCCAAAGAACAGACAACAATCTAAGATATACTACTGATAAAGGTATGACAATAAACTGAAATACTGAAAGAAAATAAATTAAGGTGTTATACATTTAGATTTTGTAGTGCTTCATACAGTGATTTTCATGTAAAATACAAATTAAAAAGGGCATTATTCATATAGCTTACATTCATCTAAGTGTTTGGCACTATCTGCAAAGAACTTTAAAGAACCAGAGCTACCCAAATGAAAACAATATACACAGGATTTTGCCCATATTCATTCAGGATAAAATTCTATTAACATTATAATTTTAACATTCAGCTAACATTAAATTCTATTAACATTGGAATTTTTTGATGTTAATTAAGTCCCCCCTAAAAGCTCTGTATATATTTGCAAACTCTGCAAATTATGCTATTTTTCTGGCTTACCAACAATGAAAAAATTTACATATTATTGACTTGAGTACAAATAATTCTGTCTTCTACCAGCCCCTGCCTATCACTTTTTTCTTTACAAGATATGTATAATTCGCTGTGAATATCATTGTGAAACAGTCTGGGGATCATTGCTGAGGTCCTGAAATCAGAAGCAGTTGATGGATTTTAAAAAGCAGAAACCAGAAAAATGATGTAATTACAATAAATTATGTAAAAACATTAATCCAAAATTCCATGACAACATTATTTTAAGCATCTGAGACAAATATACAAAAGCAATAAAATTCATAATCAAGGATTAAACCTTTAATAGTTGAGCACTACAGGGTGCTCTATTATGATATCCTACTATGACCTGTTGTGCCTATCTTTTTGGCTTTTTAATCCTGAGCAGAAATTCAGAGCTTTCACTAGCTTTATCTCAGACCTCTCACATAATTTTAGGTAATTTTTATTCTCTGAAAAGTCAAGTGCTTATATCCTGTAAATACAGTTTATATCTGTATTGAATATGCTCATTTAAATACTGTTATTCTATCATACCGATTACTGTCATTTCATGTAAAGGTTTTGTTCCTGTGAAAGCTATAAAGCTGCACAATGTTTTCATTATAACCCCATTTCACTCGTTCCTAATATTCTGAATAAAATTCATGCCTTGTTCACTGCCAACAAGACGAGAAATTCGTGGGGTACTTGATTACGATGAATATAGGCTTGAGACATGGAAACAAATAATTTTTCCATTCCAGCACATCTCTCCCTCCATCTCCCTCCTAACAAAGCCTACTCTCGTTTGAATCATTTATAGTGGGGGTAGGGGACAGCAGAAGAAAGGATGTGTCATTCTGAGACGTTGTGTGTCAAACAAAAATGTAATTCCATCCACTTGTAAGTGGGGAAAAAGAGGGTATTTGGAATATTGTCGTAGAGATGCACACCTTTTATCTGATACATTTGGGGCTGCCCTGCTCAAACCTACTGAGCAGGAGACCCAGATTCATGTCATTCTATTTACAAAGAGGATTTAAAAATCCCCCCCGCCTTTGAAAAGCCAAAGTGATTTCCCTAACCACTAAAATGGTTTGGGCTCAATCAAACCTGACTTGCAATAAATCCAGAATTTGCTCTATCTTGTAGAAGTAACGAAACATTCATTGTAACAGAAACTGGCACCTAACTGTTCTTTACAAGCTTTTTCTTAATCACCATGTTAGTGAATCCTGCTCTCTCATACTAGTCTTTGTTTCAGTGAGGATGTAACTGGTTCACGTAAAACACTGCTTATTCAACAGCATCTACTGAGAGCATCCAGTTGTACCTACATAGCCTATTTCACATAAAAAATGTGAAACCAATGCTGATATTCACATTCAAGTCAATCAAGTCAAAATCCTGTACTACCTTTCAGATAGCTATTCTAAGTCACTAGGGTATACGTAGGACTGTAGGATTGCAGGATTCTGCAAGTACCTTTGTTTAAACTACTCTGCCTTCTGCAGCTTAAATATTCACTGGCCCAGATGAAAAGCACATCAAAAATATGACTCTTGACAAGGCAGTAAGGTTTACGGATAAGGATCCATAAACTATGAATACTTAGTTTCATTTATACAAAATGGAACCATGCCAAGAGAACAGTGCACCCCTTCCGGAATACCTTTTACTTGGTTTGCTGGAGCAACCTTGTGGGTGATGTTGGCTCAGATTTCCTAAGTAGAATTTTATGATTTACATGAATTTCTCAGGTTAATTTACATCTAAGGATGTATAAAGTGTATAAAACTTGAACTGTGATTTGATTTCAGTAACATCTCAAAGGAGGGGAAGGCAGTACTATATAAGCCTCAGTGTTAGCTTTTATCATTATTAACCTGACTGAACAACACAGTAGACTACCACATTCATTATCTATCCCTGTAAAGTAGTTATCTAATAACAGTTTACCCCTCAACTTAGAGAGAATGCTAATCATTTTCACGAAACATTTGATTTTAGATATTGACCAAATGTTTTTGGAGATCATGTGGGATTCATTTGTAATTATAGCATTAAATATTTCTAGGCTGTGGCTCAGTTAATTTCTTATGACACTAGTTAGGTGATTCTTCCTTGACCTTGATACAGGCTGAAACGCGCAATGTGTTAGTTTAAACAAACACGCACAGGTTTAAGTATTATAATTTCAGTTTGGTGCTGCAGATCACTATATTTGGCCTGTTTAGCATTAACAATTCTTAGTTATATATGTGTATGTATACGTTCACATGTTGGGGGGGGGGCGTACAGAGAGTGTATGCGTTATTTTGCTTTGGGAGAGTTTCAGGGTCAGTTGTATAAGTCTTAAGAGTAACCGTAAACAACACGACAAGGCCTGGTGAAGCCGAACCATTGCTATCGTGAAGCTGCCTTCATTTTTTTCCTAGAGGTCTTACAAAAGAGAATGGAGCATGTCTAGTCTTGTACAAACCGGTCACAGAAAATACAAATAGAATCCTTGCAGATGCAGTAATAGCTCATAGCCTCAGTAAAGGATTAGGTCCTCTTCTCTATAATATATATTATATTTATTATATATAATATATAATATATATTACATATATATTTTATAAATATAATGCAAAGCAGAAAAACACAAATTAACAATAAATTAATTTTATTTGATATATTTGGTATAAGGCCTCAACATATTATAGGCACAGCCACTGTCATGTCTTTGAAAACAAAATGAAATAAGTCACTTTTAAAGACGGATTTTTACAGGACACTCTTAATACAGAATAGGACTCAGGAGAAAACTGAACTACCAGTGAACCAATTTATTAATGGCAAAACAGAGGCAGAGACTGATAACATCAAACTCTATTAAACAGATCTGAAGTGAGGCTGAGGCATAAAGTGCCTTTTATAAAAGTAGCCTGATATGTTAGAAAAAGGGAAGCGGCAGAGGAAAAAAAACAGTAGGGAGCAGATTATCACAGAATTGACTCAGAAAGGTGATATTACAAGCAATGTTTTGAACGTTTTGAAGAGAACTGACAGGGAACAGATTGCATCTGTCAAAGCCAAAACACAAGGTTCACTTTTTTTTTTAAAGATTTTGTGGCAATTACACAACTCTCTATATAAACACACTTCAGAGTGCCTGAAACCACCTCTTCTACTGCAACTGCTGCTTCTTCCACAATGAGACTTTTTCTTCCCCTGGATCTCCGCTACTCTGTATTCTTTTGATCTGCTTCTATCTGGACTATCTCATTCCTGGTTTATTTTTAGTAATTACTCTTATTTGTTTGCTTGTTTGTTTTCTCTCCATTTGTCTCTTCTTTGTTTTTGCTTTTATTCCTTGACCAACACAATCTATTCCCATGATTTTACTTTCCGTTTCCTCTTTCCTCCTCTTCATTTTATTGTTTCTTTCTGCCAAAAGCTGTTATCTTAAAAATCCTTCCCATGAATCTTCTCAAATCTCTTAAAATACTGAAAGAATTGTTCTCTCTAAATCTCTGCATCTCTCATGTTCACCTTCCCTTTCTTGAAGTAGACTGTAAGTTACTTTTTATAAATTTTTCTTATATATTATTCTTCACAAACTCATACAAAAATACTATTTCTAAAAATTCATCAGCAAGAAATCCTACTTTAACTTCCAGAATCCTGACTTTGCAATCTCTACCAATTTCACTGGCATCATCTTCTCCCTTAGTATTTTTTATCCGCTGTTTTGTAGCCAAAAATATCTTTCTAAGGATCACTACGACTATACAATCCCCATAGCTATAATCTTATTTTACTGTCTCTTTACATACTCATTTGCAAATCTTTATTTTGGATTTCTATATACAGTGCTATCCAACCTCATAATGTATTTTTTTTCCCCCTTTTCTGAGCTTTAAACTTTCCTCTTTCTTGTCTCCCTTTCACTTCTGTTGTCTCCTCCCACTCACAATTGCTTCTCTTTGCTGGTCACTCCAACTTAAAGAATACTTAAAAAAATCTGCCTAGGTGTGCTCTCTCATTTAAATTTTCCTTAGTTGTTTTCCTCCCTTTACTATCACTGATCTCAATTCCCTGGAAAGTGCTATTTCCTTTTGTTTTCTGCTTTCTGCTCTCACAATATATTGCTTGCTCTAACAAATACTATTTTTCAGACCTACATTGCAAGGCCATCATGGCAGAGACCTTGTTCTCTCACTCTTTAGCGTAGGAAAGAGAGAGAGCAAGAACATATATAGTATTACATAAACAACAGTAGTAAAAATGACACAGCATTAGCCTAATACAGGAAATGAATACTCCTTGGTGTGTTGTACATTCAGCCAGTAAGCAGATTCTTCAGGCTTAAGAATTTTCTGAGTAGCAAAAGGGTATCTTTTGTTGAATACCAGCCAAAATTAATAGATAAACATGCAAATAAAACCACTGTTTTTAATACACTGTAAGGGGACTAAGAACCACATGTGAACCATAAAATGTATTCACAGAACATGAATAATTTAGCAACATTTAAGAGGAGTACAATGATCACCCCATACAGGAGTGTAATCAACGTTTGCTTTCCCAGGGGTTAAGAACTATATCCTGAACTCGTAGACACATGAGTTCTTCCCTCCTGCGCAGAAAACTCCCAGACGCGGCTGGGAGTTTGTGCATGGAAGGCGCTACAACTCCAGCTCTGCTTTGGTTGGTTTTGTGTGAGACCTGCTCAGAATGCAGCTTATGCAATACATTTTTACTGATAGGTTGTAGTTGTAGTTTGGTAATTATACAGTGGTTCAGTTCTTTATGATTTCCAGAACTGTTAAGTGTCTAATCAACACTCCCTTTTCTGTAACTCATTGTGCTAATTTGTAAACAAAATTAAGATTCTTTTTGTCTTTGAAGTTTGGCTGCCAACCCTAGACCTGTCTCCCAGGATAGGACTTAAGTATGAAGTTTCCAGAATTGAAATAACAGTAATAAGTTGGAATATGCATTTGTACATTTCTGAAAATTATGTTATTAACTCATTGAGAGGCATAAAATATTATTTCATGCTACTTTAATATAAAACTTTGGTTCTATAATTCACACGTCAGTCTGACATAGCTTAATGTATTGAGATTTTGTTCAAGTTATTTTTATGTTGTATATATCTGTCTCTAGCTGTAAGTAATACATGAATATCTGTGTAGTATCAGCTTTCTGTATTTTCTAGAAATTTCTCTTCAGATGGATACAGTTTTAGATAGTTTTCTTCACTATATTGTTTACCTGTCCTTATGCCACCACAATTTTGTGTCCAAACATATTGCAATTGTTTGAGCAGAA